TCCCAGGAGAGACCAGTGTAAGTGTGCGCGCGTGTGTGCGTGTGCACAACTGGGGTGGAGGGGAGAGATTAGTAAGAGGCCCAGCACTCCAAACTGGCTTGACTTTTTCTCGGAGCCCGTTTGAAAGATGCTTTCAAGCGGAAAGCGGATAATAATAGCCTCCTGGTTTAGGAATTCTTCTCTATTCCCCTAATAGCCTCCCCTCCCCCCCCCCCCCGGCTTTGTGGGGAGGGGGAAAACCTTCAAATCCAGCCATTTCTCTTCTTCTGCTCCAGCGCTTCGACTTGTACTTTTTCCATCTTTTCCTTCGGAGGCCCAGCCAAAATACCAACCCAGAAAGCGAAGACCACACAACTTAAAAGGAATATTTCCGTAATTCTTGTCCCATTTTTCTCTCTGGCCAGCCTGAGAAAGCAGGCCGGGCCTGGATCCAGGACAGCCCACCCCCCACTTCCCATGCCGAGAGAATGTGCCTTCAGAGCCCCCCCCCCACCCCCCGTCCTCCCACAGAATATGCAGCCCTCTCCTTACGGCCACAGCGGGGGCCAGAAGTTGTTAAGTGAAGCGGACTTGATGTTTTCATCAGTTTCGATCACGCGACTGTGGAGATGCTCCGAAGGAGGTTTGGAAGCCAGTGGTCGTCGTCATTCTCATTAATCCGAACGGTCGCTAAACAAGGAATGCCTGTATTCTAGGGAAGGAAGAGCCGCTTTCGTTGCTGGTCACCCCGGCTCGGCCTCCCACATGCAGAGAGCCTCTCTAGCCAAATCTGGAGGGTTTCCTTGTGAGGTGGGGGGGTCCCGGCTGCCCCCTCTTGGATGACCATCCCTGGATCCTATGGGACAGTCCACAGCCTTGGCTGCCTTATGCAACAGAGGCAGTTTCAGAATTAGAATCAGAATAGAGCCGGAAGGGACCTTGGAGGTCTTCTAGTCCAGCCCCCTGCTATACCATTCCAGATAAGTGACTGTCCACTCTCTTCTTAAAAGCCTCAATGGGGAGGGAGGGAGGGAGGGAGGGAGGAAGGAAGAAAGGAGGGAGGGAAGGAAGGAAGGAAGGAAGGAAGGAAGGAAGGAAGGAAGGAAGGA